TATAATTTACAAGAAATTGCCTTAAATATTTTTTTTTTAAAAATAGGTCCGGCCCACTTAGCCCGGGACCGTTAGTTGGTGGTCCCGGTCTCGGGCTGGTTCCTACAAAAAAGCCCACGAAGCCCGGGACAACTTTAGGACTGGCCCACAAGGCCCGTTTAGGCCCAGGTACGGCCCACATTACACCCCTAGCTGTAACTTTTCGTGTTATAGCAAAATAGTGACTATTTTTAATGATTTTGCAAACATTAGCTATTTTTGAATGACCAGTCCGAAAACTGGCTAGCCCGTGCTATCTTTACAAAGTTGCCATAAAAATTGCTATACCCATTTTTTAAAAAACTTTTAACTTGTACCCACTTTTTAAATAACTTCAGCCCTCTTTCTCCTCCTCCTTCTCCTCCTTTGTTTTCTTCTTCAAGTTACAAAACAAATTGGTATTTATCTCCAGAAGTAACGTTGCTTTAGTTATAAGGTCAATTTTTTTTAATTGAACAGTTCGGCATTTGTACTTCTGCTCCAAACTTACAGTAAATTAGTCTTAGAAAAAAGTTTAAGTTACCAGTTGGGTTTGTTTTGGATTGCTCACTGTTGGAAAGCGTTTTTGTAAGGCCAATTGTTTTTGTGCCCTTTGGAAATATATATATTTCTTGGTATGATTTTTCATATGCCTCTCTACTTATTTTTGTTTGTTTGGGCACCGTTATTCCTTCTTTTGTCTCAGAGGACATATATCGAACATCTTGTGGCTTTCTTAAAAATATTACTTGCTCATTCTAGTCCACTTCAGCTAACAGCCACTAGCTACAACTAAGGCAAAACAGCAAAAATACAACTAGAAAATTATAATTGACAAATACAGCAAATTAACAAAAACTTCAGCTCTAGAGCTGAAGTTTCCCGGTTACAACACAAAAATTTCAGCTCTAGAGCTGAAGTTTCCAGTTACAACACAAAAACTTCGCCAGTTACAAAACAAAAACTTCAGCTCTAGAGCTGAACTTCAGGCCCGACTACTAGAATGCTGAAGTTTTGCGTGATTGTCTTTGCTACTTCAGCCCCGTGTGCTGAAGTTATGCGAAAAAGCGAGTATGCTTGTAACTTTTTTTACAAAGCGAACACAAGTTAAAATGTGATACAAAAAACGGGTATAGATGCAAATGCCCAAAGTTCTCGTGTCAACTTTTTCTGAAACAGAGGGAGTAGCTATTAGCCCATCGGACGGCCTTTGGGCATACTGTGTGGCCCAATTTTGACTTTCTATTAAATAAATACTTCCTTTTCGGAAAAAATAAAATAAAAAAGAAGAAAACAATAAAACTATATTTGTGCTGAAAGATTGAACCAGAGCAAAGCGCGATTACAATAATGAATGAAAAATGGGGTTCTTTAATGGCTTCATCATACTATTTTTATCTACAAAGATTGCAACTTTTGACACTTTGGTAAGTTAAAATCATTCTTTACTATCTTCACTTGTTCACTATTTCAGTCCAAAATTTTTAGTTTCATCATCTTTGAATTGGTCTTTTGTTTGTTCTTTTTAATTTCTAATTGAAGGTTCATTAAACACTCTGTTATTCTACTCAATATATGCTGCATTTCATATCTGTGATAATTTAGAATTAATTATCTATTTTTCTTAATGTAGCATTTTCTATCCGTACGTAGGTATGGAGCTCAAGATTTCCACTCCCAGTTGAAATTTGTACTTGAATTTGAGATTCTGCCCTAGTTCTGTTGTTTTCATCCCTTAAAATAAAGTGGGTTCATCTTAAAAAATGATTTTTTAGAGTGATCTGTTCTGCTAGATTTTGAGTATTGAAATATGTTAATAGAAGATTCTAGAAGAGTTGCTTTGCTTTTGGGGATCAAACAATTTCAGCTTTGAGAATCTTTTATGTTGTTTAGAAAGGTTGTGTATTGTTACATAGATAATGGCAGCAAAGCCATTGAATAATATCTGGATTAGGAGACAGCAATGCCCTTGTGGAGATTGGAAGTGTTACATTAAAGCCGATGGAGATGATCAAGCAGTATATGTTTCTCTAACGACGAAGAGTGAAACAGCATCGTCTTCGTCCCAAGATGCTGTCTTTACTCCATATGTTGGTCAGATATTTAAAAGTGACGATGAGGCATTTGAATATTATAGCAACTTTGCTAGGAAGAACGGGTTTTCTATTAGGAAAGCGCGATCAACAGAAAGCCAGAATTTGGGAATCTATAGAAGGGATTTTGTGTGTTACCGGTCTGGATTCAATCAACCAAGGAAAAAGGCCAACGTGGAACACCCTCGGGACAGGAAATCAGTACGGTGTGGATGTGATGCGAAACTATACTTGACAAAAGAAATTGTTGATGGCGTAGCACAATGGTATGTTTCTCAGTTCAGTAATGTTCATAACCATGAATTATTGGAAGATGATCAAGTTAGACTACTTCCTGCATATCGAAAAATCCAAGAGGCTGATCAGGAAAGGATTCTTTTGCTGTCCAAAGCTGGTTTTCCTGTCAATCGGATAGTGAAGGTGCTGGAATTAGAAAAAGGAGTTCAACCGGGTCATTTGCCTTTCATAGAAAAAGACGTCAGAAATTTTGTCAGGACGTGTAAGAAAACCGTTCAGGAGAATGATGCTTTGATCACAGAGAAAAGAGAAAATGATCTTTTCGAGCTTCTTGAGGCTTGCAAAGCATCACAACAAAAGGATGAGGGGTTCATTTACAGTTTTACTACTGATGACAATGGCAGAGTAGAAAACATCGCATGGTCCTATGGACACTCACTTCGTGCATATTCTTTCTTTGGTGATGTCATGACCTTTGACACCACATATCGATCTATCACCTATAATATGGTACTTGGTGTGTTGTTTGGAATTGACAATAATGGGAATGCAATTTTTCTTGGATGCGTTCTGCTGCAAGATGAGACATCACAGTCATTCTCTTGGGCCTTACAGGTTAGGACAAGAAAGCTTATGTTATTCTTGCATCTGTAATCATGTTTATCTTAACAGTTGCTTTTTGCTTTTTTGCAGTCTTTTGTTCGATTCATGAGAGGAAAACAACCTGAGACAATCGTGACTGATATAGATTCAGGGCTAAGAGATGCTATAGCAAGCGAGATGCCTAATACTAAGCATGTTATATGTTTATGGCAAGTTCTCTCAAAATTATCTAGTTGGTTCTCCTTGCCCCTTGGATTACAGTATCCAGATTTTAAATCTGAGTTTGATATGTTGTGTCGACTGGAAAATGTAGAGGACTTTGAGCATCAATGGAATCACCTGGTTGCTCGGTTTGGAGTTGGTTCAGATAAGCACATTGCTCTTCTTCTATCTTATCGAACATCCTGGCCAATTTCTTACACGCGAAACTTTTTCCTGGCCCGAACAATGACCATTGAGTATTGGAAATTGATCGAGACATTCATGAAGAATATCTTGAGCCCTCAATCAAGCTTACTATTATTCTTCGAGCAGGTACAGAATAATTTTATAATTACTTGACTTTGCTTTTTATGACATCTCCGGTACATGGTTTGATGACAAATCCTTCACATTTTTAAACCATCACAGGTTGGTCTAGCGTCCAACTTTGGGAATCACAATAAGGAAAAGCGACTTTATATGCCTGCTAAGACTTGCCTTCCTCTTGAAGAACATGCAAGGAGTGTTCTTACGCCTTATGCCTTCAACGTCATGCAGCATGAGATTATGCTATCTATGCAATACGCAATAACAGAAATGGCTAATAGCTCATATCTTGCGAGGCATTACAAGAAAATGGAAGCAGAGTGTCTTGTGATTTGGATACCCGAAGATGAGGAAGTTCACTGCTCTTGTAAGGAATTTGAGCATTCTGGCATTTTGTGCCGGCATTCGATTCGAATGCTAGTATCTAAAAACTACTTTCAAATCCCAGCAAAATATTTTCCACTTCGATGGAGACTCGAGAGTTCCTTAGCTCCCCCGGATGAATCAGTCATTCAAAGTAGCAGTAGTGAGTATTCTCAAGTTTTCCATGCTCTTAGTGGAAGTCTATATTCAGAATCATTAATTTCTAAACAGCGCGTTAATTATGTTAATAGAGAGCTCAAAAAGCTCCTTGAGAATGTACAGAATATGCCTACAGTGGATGAAATTGCTGTAAGTTCAGCACCTATCAATGTGAGGGAACTCTAGCACTTATGATGTATTGCTTGGTGGCTAATTTAGCAATACTAGGGAACTAAAGCTATTGGGAAGGAACATTTGAGAAAGAAATTAGGCATGAATGTAGTAGCAATGAAATGGAAGAGATTTACTTTTAGTTTATAGCAAAAAATTTACACTATCTATGACAAGGTTACAAATGCATTTGGAACAAATCAGCTTGATTAATTTATGATTCTGCCCCTTCTAGTTTTTAGTCAGTTGACAGCTGAGAGCTGACCAACCCCAACTAGTATTGAGTATGGTTTCTTGAATGTTTCTGCTTTCTGCAAAATGGTTTCTTGAAGGGGAGCCTTGGAGCAACGGTCAAGTTGTCTCAGTATAGGTCACATGTTCGAGTCGTGGAATCAGCCACACATCACACCCCCTTGGGGTGGAGTCCTTCCCCGGACCCTGCATAAACGCGGGATGCTTTGTGCACCGGGCTGCCCTTTGGTGGAATCAAAATTCAAAACACTATCTTAAACTTTATACCTCTCCTGCTCCTTGTTCAGTTCCCTTATTTTCCGGTGTCATTTCTTCCAGTATAATTCCCTGAATATGTGGTTAATGCTATCTATTACAAGCACTGTTTCTTCTCATATGGACCATAGTTATCTTGTGCCTCAGCTAAGTGACTTGTGAAGAGAATCTTGTAGATGTATTCACCATGATGCTGAGAAGAAAAGAACTTAATTTTTAAATTAGTATCCTTTTTACTGATTTGATTATGGCCATGCTCTTCTTGATCCATTGTATTTGAAACTAATTTACTGGGTAGCTAGATATTGCTATTTCTACATCATCGTGGATCAGATTTGCATGGATTATGAATGTGTTCTATAAGCATTGGAGTGTTACATGTGAAACTCTACAAGTTCTTGAGCTACTAACTGAACGAAGATAGTTCTTTAATTTTTGCTTTTGATAACGATGGTGTTTGGACCAACTTGCGAGCAGTAGCGCTGAACCAAAAATTTATACTAGGGATTCAGAAAAAAATTATGATATCGCAGTTGGGATTTTAACTTATGATCTAAAGAAACTTTTGAACCTCCTTCGCTACAGTAATTGATCTTTTTCTTCATGTTAAAGGGATTGAACAACTCACATATAACAATATTTTTTTTAAACCCTTTTTGCTTTGTGTTATTTTTTGACGAAGGGTTTGAACCCCCTTCATATTACTTAATTCTGCTACTGCTTGCGAGCACCGTGGCCATTCCATTGGATATCTGTTATCTCCCACTAGCACGAGTACCGAGTAATTCTTCCCACCAATTTTAGACAGATAAAAAAAATCACCTACAATTTCTTGTTTATGTAGAGTTTGCACATTGGTTTCCGGTGGCTTTCACTCAAGTAATTATAGAACCACCTTAAGCTAAGGCGTGTCAATTGATACTACTTTTACGAAAAATTATAATGGTTAGCTAGTTAAAAAATTATTTCTCTCTCTCTATATATATATATATATATAAATCCTCTTAATTTTTTTTAAAAATGTATTTACTATTTTGTTTTGACATTCTTTAATGAAATTTCTGACTTCAACATTGTTTGAGCGGCTGAAAGATAGTTATAACGACCATAGGGACTGGACCATATGCTTGTCTAACATCTAGTGTTATTTGCTAGCAGTGCCCTAAACTTGGAAATCTGAATTGAAATCCTACTTCTAGCCTAGGTAGTGGCCCTCAAAAATGGTGGATAAGATGTCAAATATCCATAGATTTGTGTTTGTTATGACTTATTGTGGGACTTCAAAATAGGAAGCTTGGCACCATTGTCCTTTCATCTTTACTTTCTTCATTGAGGGCTGTTACAGTCAATTATGAAACAGTTTAGTTTTGGACCAAGACATTGGTGATAATGTTAATTAAGAAGCCTGTCCAATTATTTCTTGGAAATTTTGTCTCCCTTAGTCTTTTGCTATTTAGTACTTTATAGCGATAAAACAGAAGCAGCTGAAAAGTCTTTGTCTATAAAAATAGATCTTTTCACCTAATCACCTTTTAATAGGTGCAGTGTCAATAACAAGAACAAATCCAGTAAATTCTCATAAGTTAGAACAGGTGCAGTGCCATTTCTTTAATTTTAAAAAAAAATCCACTGCCACATGAATTAGCTTTTTGGTTTTCAAACATTATACGAATTGATGGAAGCCTTTGTAGGTGGTGGCTCCGAATTATGGAAGCAGCCATTAATACTTATATTAGGCTGTCTACATCATATCCTTTGAGATATCGCCTTTCTCCGAATACTGTACAGAATATTTTATTCACCGAAATACCCATAAATATTATAGTATGAATTAATTAACTGTGTCGCATGGACGTAGAGTAACCTAATAGACATGGCAATATTTAAAAAAAGAAGAAAAAGAGAGGTAAATTTAGAAAAGTATAAGGCAGAAAGTGAGCAGGTTCCATGAATCATGATTACATAATTTTTTATATTTTTTGGAACTTCAGGAAAATATGCAGTCGCTACAGCCTCTGTCATTCGGGTGAGCACTCTGTACGCACTGGGTAAATTCCCACTGTGTAACAACCTGCAAACCACACAGGGGATGTAAATTGCACTAGCTAGGCAAACCCTGTGCGACAGGTTCGATTCAGAAGGCATTTAGGAGGGATCAATCCCTGGTCATCTATATGGATGATCGCTCTTCGAACCAACTGGGTCATCCCTGAAGGGATATGATTATATAATTTGATCTACATAGAGTTGTAAATTTGTTAGAGATAAACAAAAAAGATCAATCACCCCCCCCCCCCGGTCCCCCCAAACAAAAGGAAAATTGGTTAGAAGAATTTCATTACAAAATTTCCCATAAAACAATACGCATAATATTTGGATGGACAGATTAGGAAAATAATCCTTGTATATTATGTCAGCATTTAGTTGGCCGCGTAAGAAAAGATAACTCATGAATAATCAATGCAACGTTTATTTAGAAGTATTAATTAAATAATATATACATCAACACAGTAAAAAACTATGTATGAAATATAAAATAAAACAAAATATTTTTTCACAAAGTAAGCAGTTCGTACATCACAATTCCCTCATTATATATGTGAACCAAAAGACAACGTTATGTCAGAGTGGTGTTAGATTACAAATATGAGGACATCTATTAAAATAGGATAAAGTTTTTTATTTGATTAATCTACTTGTCGTTAGGTTGTATCTTTGCACTACAATGTTGATTACATATGTTAAATAGCTAGACTCGAAAAGAATATAAAATAGCAACCAGATGATCCAATACACCTACTGAGAATCACTCAGCAAAATCAAAAAGCTCATGTACAGCTAATTATAGTGAAGCAATTACTGAGTTAAAGATCATGAGATCTGGGTTTTTAGTTGGCAATGGATTTTGCTTTACCTCATAGTAGAATCAGATATTTACCTTTTGGATTATCTGTTTGCCTCATTTTTCAAAGAGACATGGCTTGTCAGTTTGTCTCTCAGCGTACATGGAAATAGATCCTTCCATTTAGAGGCGGAACCAAGATTTGAAGTTTATGGGTACTGAACATATAGCTCGTCTTAGTTACTGAGTTTATTATTAAACTTAATTTTGTATCTATTTAATGAATTTTTAGTAGCAAAATTGACTGAGTTTGACCAAACCCACACTTAATAGGCTAACTCCACATCTGCTCTCACTTTACTTATTTTCTATAAGTACATGGCGCTGGTTATTTTGTAATTTCGACTTTTGATTAATAATATTTTCCTTTTAATTAAAAAATATATAATACTCTCATAGTGTAATTCTTTTTTTTTTTTTTTACTTCTCAGGTCACCTAATAAAAGGTAATACACATACCTGGCCTTAATAGTTGTAATTAGTAACTTGAAAAATTAGATAACTAACTTACTACAATGTACTATTAAATTACTTTAATAATGTAAAAAATTAACACTGTAAGTATATATGTATTATTCAACCCATGGGTTGAAATTTTATCTATTTTATGTTTCTAAGTAGACACCTCTAAACATAAACTTAAAAGACAATGTGTGTTGACCATGTCAACGGCCGAAAAGTCTAATTGAAGAACTGGTGTGTGAATGCGTATATGAGCGTGTTTGTTGAGGCAACAGTGGATTGCGATAGTTAATTGTCATGTACCTGAAAACTCTAGAGTCAAGCTGGCAATTGCATTGTAAGTTCCTTTTAAAAAAAAAAAAAAAAAAAAAAAA